GCACCTGCTCATCTGCCATTGTGTCTATCACACATAAGGAGGTCTGTGTCTCCATCTGTTAGGATCCATTTCTCCATAGTCCATATGTTTTCTTGCCTTTACAAAAACAGTAATGAGGGGCCGCATGGTCCCTGATTGATTCTATCCGGGGAGTGTCAATCCAGTTCCTATGCCACAGGCAAGTCAGAAAATACAGAATTTACACAGAGTCCAATGCTTCCTCCCATTAGAGCCAAAGGGGGGACCCACCAACAGCATTGACTGCTTCCACAAGACTTCCAATACACAGAAAACCTATAATGGACATGGATCGCAACGAATCCAAAGATCAAACCTCAATAAGAGTTCAAAGAAAACATAATCCCAAGGGTTCCCCACTGCCCTTCCGTTTTTACTTTTGCGTGTGTGGGCGTCTCTGTATGTGTGCATGCTCCTCTGGACGACATTGTGTGTGTGTGTGTGCCTGCCTGTCTGACTGTATTCCTCCTCCTCCTCCTCCTCCTCCTCCTCTCTCTCTCTCTGGGCAATCCGTGTGTTCCATGTGTGTGTGTTGCTGTGTGTTGTCCTTCTTGTGTTATGTGTGAGAGAGGGAGAGAGAGAAGCATTAGGAAAAATACAGCTTCTCAAAGCCACTGTTCTTCTCAAATTGGGGTGTCCAATAGTGACCTCAACGTTCCAAACTACATTGCAAACCCAAGCAGGACAACACACAGCAACACACACACACACGGATGCCCACACACACACACACACACACACCTGTCTCTTATACACATCTAGATGTGTATAAGAGACAGGGTCATAGCAGCGTTGAACGGCGTTGACCAAGGCCGTTGACCAAGGCGTTGACCAAGACTTTGACCAAGCTGGAATTGGTAACATCTCGCCAAGCCCTTAGCCTGCCCATTGCCCTATGGATGTGCACATACCCCTTGGTACTTGCTGAGTACAGTCTGTCTGTCTATTCTTTCTGCATTGAGTCTCTTCTGTCCTAGGTCATAGAAATGGCGCATCAGGCTGAAACGGAGGCCGTCTTTAAGTGTTGAGGGCCTGTTGGAACCACTCCCCTACCAGACCAAGTAAGGCTGATGAGACGACTCGACTGTCCCAAGGACCGGTACAGACCGGCGGGCTGCTCGGTGTGGCACAGTAGGCCGGAAAGGCTGAGTTGTGGGCTGAAAGCACAGGCAGAACCAAGCTGATCACGTCGTCTTGTCTGCGGCGTTAAAGAATTCTTGAGGAGTTACGGGGGATCTCCTTAAATGCCTCCTGATCAGCCACTGGTTCAGTAGTGACAGCCATAGTATAGGTCTAGGCTAGAGATCCTAGTTGGCAGGATCCCTGTCAGGATTCTGTGAGTCATTAGATTGAGTCAATAGGTTTGTCAGTCAGGGATCAGAGTCTACGTGGTGAGGAGTGGAATCATCCTGATTGTGCACCTATCACCATGGTTGAGACTCGTACTGGGCTAGAGACTAACCCCTATAGCAAGGAGCAGCAAGAAAAGATGATCGCCTTAGTCAGAGAGAACAAAGAGAGAAAAGAGCGCGAGAAGCAGGCAAAGCTAAAGGCTATCGCAGATGAGCAGGCGGCAAAGATGAAGAGGTTGGAGGAGGAGATGAAGAGGGTACAACAGGAGGAGGAAGAAAGAAGGAAGGCTGCTGAAGCAGAAGCGGCAGCAGAAGAAGAGAAAGAGAGAATGAGAATTGAGAGTGGAGAAGGGAGCAGTGGTGGCACGATGAAGTGGGAGACAGACACTGAGCTGGAGAAGAAGATCAGCGAGTGGGTCGCTAATTTATCGTTGGGGGAAGACGAGGAGGCGGAGTCCTATGTGACTACGGATGAGAAGGCTGCGCTGGCCGGTGAGCTAGCAGCCATGACAGACCCAATGGAACGAAGAGAGAGGGAAGACGAGCAAAAGTTAGCATGGAAGTTGAGAATGAAGAGGGAGAAGAAGAGGAGGAGAGAGGAAGTGAATAAGATGACCACAGCAGTGGCAAGGGTGCAGGAGTGAAGAGCGGAGGTGCTGGCGCAGCCAGATGATAAGGCCAAGTGGGACAAGGTACTGGGCTATCTAGAGGTGTTGAGCAAGGCCTGGATGGAAGAGCGCCAGGCAAGTTGGAGCCAAGATGTAGCCTTGAGTGCCATGCGGTCAGGGTTTAGAGATTTCGCGCGCGAGTTCGTCACCCATATTGGGGGCGAAGTCAAACAGTTGAGAGACAATGTCGGGAAGTTTTGTATGGGCGCCATTCAGGGTGCCAAAGCTGTAGCCGCCGCAGAGGGAGAGGCCAGGCCCCGTAAGGACCCAGTGAAGCTTAAGTTTCCGGATGCGTACGGGGGAAAGAAGGAAGAAAACTTTGATAAATGGGAAGCCAGTGTCAATAGTTATATTTACTTGCA